CATCTATTGTTTGTTATGCCTATATCGAACTATTACTTAAATTGAATTAAATATTGAATTTACTCGTGTAACATAATTCTATGTTCACTCCATGTATATGAAACGTTTGCTTAACACATTATCAATATCCATTATAAACATTAATGTCCAAAAGGATATGAGAACTACGTATAGTATAATTTACCGTATTTATCTGAAATAAGCTGTGACATTAACTTGCAATTGATATTGTGACAAAATCTAACCAAATGGCTGTAAAGTAATATTAACAGTTTTGCGAATGAATCGTCATTGTCCAATACGAAAAAAATTTCATTTTATCGTATCAATGTTTATGTAATCGTTTAATCGTCGACCTCGACTCACAGCAAAACAATGCGACATTTTAATATTGTCCGTCCTTTCGTTATTTTTAATCGCCAATTTTAAGTCCTTTATATCCTGAAAAAAACTAAATACTAACGCTTTACCGTATCAAACGCGCTCGAATCTGGATAATGAAAAATGGAAGAAAAATGAAGATTCCAGAGATCCAAGTCCCGGAGGAAGTGAAGAGTAGAGAACTAATCGAGTGCATTATCCTCTGGGAACATCAAAGGCAAAATCGTAAGAGGAAAAGGACCACGCGATACCTCCGGGCTCACCAAGCAAGGTCACAGCCAAAGATCCAACGATATCATCGATGCTGCGGTTATGTCATTGATTTCACTCGAATAATAATAATAATAATAATAATAATAATAATACTAGCGGTTCGGGGCTACTTAAAAGCCGCCCAAATGCTTATAAGATGATTACGAGCCCGTGAAATTGCCGGGCGAATTGGAAATGTCGGAGTTGGGGGCGAACCGCGCCGCAACTGCGACGCCCATCAATTCCACTTCCATTTTTCAAGTCCCATTCAATTGGTTCTCTGTCTCGTTGTCCCCGAGGCAGTCGGTCGTCGTTAATAATCGCGCGGAGGAAGCTCGTTAACGTTGCCCCGGGTGAGGCTGATTTGCCTCTTGGCACGAGCGCGACACGTCAGCTTTGATTTTAAATTGCGAAGAGATTATTTGATCACCCGGTTGCCATTTCGATACGCGTCACTGTTTCGTACTGACGGTCGGCGATATTGAAAAGACGATTATAAAATGTTTATCGCTTGTTAAGAAGATCATCGTATATGAATTTGCGAGATTTAGAAGTTATTTAGAAAGAAATTTATGTTCATCGAAACGTATGATGTAATTATATTTTTAAAGTTCAGCGAGTCGCTCGGATTGACCAACGTGTCGCATTTCATAATTTTTACTTCGTCGCTTGGCCGTATGGGTTACATAGTTTTTCCCAAATGGCTAATGGATTTTCTTGTTTATAGTAGTTGTGAATGGTAAATTTCAATATGTAGTAATATTTAGTAAATTGTTCGAGGCCACCGATTTATTTAATCAAATTTAATATTTACCTTCGAGCATTTGAAAATCAAACTGCATAAACTAGCTACAAAGCATTTTCATTAATTTCACATAAAATTACACAATGAGTCTACGATTGCCATTGCCATTCTTATATTAACCAGATCTTGCATTATTTTACTACTCTAATCGTTTTAGTAAGATGAACGACTTTACACGTTTCTCTTTATCTCAATTTTTCTCGGACTTATACGAATGTAAGCGCAAATGTAGTTTCTTAGTGAGAAAGATTCCATGTAATGTTCATGTCAAATAAATTTAACACTTCTGCTATGTAAAGTATCGAACAATATCTATAATAATTATATATGAATAAGATATCGTGTTTTCCATGTTACATTTTTAAACTTTATGTTTATTGGAATGTAGAAACAGTATACGCAATGTGTATATTGAAAGAATAAAATAATATTAAAGTATATTTTTAGGAATTTGAGAAAATATAAAATATTAAAAGATGCTGTAGATATTGTCAATGTTACTTCTGTTTTATTATATTAATCGGAGATGATAGGGAGTTAGAAAATTTAAACTATTAAAAAAATTTAAAGCTCATTTAGTACTTAAAAGTCAATTAAAATTGTTTTATACATTATCCCGACTTTTTTTTTTAATATTAAATTAATTCAAATATTACTTCATGAAGTTAAAATAAATATTAACTGCAGAACGATTCATTTATATATAATAAAACATACATCGTATTTACATTTTTTTCTATATACTTTAAAAATATACGGTGATACAGCGGATGTTTTTTTATTGTATTTTTTTCGTTTTTTCTTTGATTTTTTTTTTTCAAATGTTTTAATTTAACTTTCTGCTCCAATAAGCTTTCATACTAAATATACTAAAATAGCCACGATAAATTTGGCGGTTAAAAATAATTATTAAACTTCAAATATTATTATATTTGAAATATTATTTGCAATGTTGTTCATATCATAATTTCAGCACTAAGCGTATTATATTTGCACATAATGTTAAAAAGAAAAAAAGAAAATATTATCAGAATCAAGAATCATGTGAATTCTTACAACAAAGCATCTTTTTATCCCCATTTGGATATCTTCAAATTTCATATGAATATATAATTATTATGTTACTAGTTATAATTAGATTTATGAAATTAGCACAGATAAAGTGCAATAAGCATACGTAAAATTAGAATTATTACGTGGAATTTATTTAAATAATGAATTTAATAGTCCTAGCTTCTATTGTAAGTAGATGTATTTAAAACATTAGTTTAATTCATGAAAAAATTGCATTTAAATTATTACTATAAAATAATTTTTTTTTGCAAAATTCATGTATAAGCTTATTTGTAAGAAACGTATATATTTATTTACATTTAAAAATCATTGTTTCATCGATTGTCCCGAAAAAAGATTTATTAATTCATTTTTAAATTGACATTGAAGAATATGAAGTTGTTTTTCTAAATATTTATTTTGTATCCTGGAAAATTAAAAAGTTACATAACGGAAATATATTAAACTGAATTATATTTCATAATTAATTGAACTCTTAAAATTTTATTGCTTTTAATAAAAATTTCGCGTTTTATTTACATACAAAAAAAAAAAAAAAATATCCACTCCCCTTATTCCAGCGGGCATACGGAAAGATCGTTTCTTTCATTCAAAATAAAATAAAAGAGGGAAATTTTATCATTCAATTCGAATTACTGATTTCGGCCTTAAAGTTAATTTCCCTTCGGCATTTTCATTCGACGAAGTTTTTTAATCCGAATTACACTTTATTCTATCAATTTCTCCTACGTCCGCACTCTTAATACACTCCCTTCGTATGATCAATTTGGCTGGTCATACAGAATAGCAATAAACAAGTCTGTAAATCAAATCAATTGATTTATTTTAATGAATGCACGAGCGGCCAGATTAAGAAGTAATACATTCAGTTTTATTTCAATAAAAGTTCTCTGAATTCAATTTCGCTCAACCTCGCCTTTATTTCCAATATCTCGCTTATTCTCTCAACCAAAGAATCGGCACTTCTATCTAGTCGACTAGCAAGCACCCTGCGCTTTCACACTGCCACATCCACACATGGGCACACGAGCGAGTCGCTTCCACTTTCAAGACTTCCACGAACTTATTTCAAATTCGCCTTCCTGAATCGTTCGCCATCTCACTCGATCATCGGCATTTTACGAGCACTTTATCAGCATACCGTATGATCCTATTGCTGGATCCTGTTGTGCGCCAGTAAGCTGCAGATTTTCAAAGCACATGCACCATTCCACATCCCATTTGCCCTTTTAGAACCGAAGATCAGGAATTCGGCAAGTTTTTTTCGGTAACTCGTACACTAACTGCGCTTTCTCGGCTCTTTGTAGTTGGCATTGGAGTTCAATTACTTTTGCAATGCTCATTGAAGTATTCAATGCCGGCTTACGGACTCTGCACCACGAACAAACAGACGCATCGAGTTATTTAGAATTATCTTGTTCTTTAATCTCTTGGAGCTACGTTCTAGTTTGAAGTTGTAGGGGTATTTTCCAAATTATCGGCAATTATCCTCTCAATGTGCCTGCGTGGAATTTCGATCAACGCCATAGATCCATCAACTATTCGCCAACGAATTTAACAACTCCTAGTCCATTAATAAATCGCATGTAACGTATCTTTTCCAACTTTATCTTTAATTGCTTACTTTTATTTACTACATTATCAATCGGATCGATCGGAAAAATGGTTTTGAATTTATAATTATAGTCCGGGCGAATTATTCGAGCAAAGGATCAATTAATTATCGGATTTCATTTCTTACTATATTTATACGTTCCAAAGATGATAATTTGTTGAATACTTTGCATAGAGAGGAATTAAATTTTCAAGTTTTTTTTTTTATATCTTGAGAATAGCAATTATATTGATTTTTATTATTTTATCAACGTGTAATATTTGATTTCATTAATATTCGCTTATATTTACTATGACTTTTATATTGAGGAATATGAAATAAATAGTTTATACTATTTTGACGAGAAGGAGGACGACGACGAAGACGATGATGTTGTTGTTGTTGTTGTTGTTGTTATAAATATCGTTATTATTATTATTGAATATGAAGTATAATACGGGGGAACGAATAGTATAAATAAATAATTAATATAAATGCAATATTTACACATTCTTTGAAAAGTATAGTTAACCATTTAAATTCTAAAATTGAAGAGTCAATTTTAATAAAACTTTACAGCAGATTTCAAATAAATCAATTTTATTACAATTCATATATGCTTTGTTTATTCGTTTATTAAGAAAACCGCGCAGTTAATTATTTGACCAATAAATTTATTTTTAACATCGTACATATATACGAATATACAATATACGAAAGTGCAATATTCATATTTATAATGCCAATCGATGCACGACGAATCACAAAAAATATATTAAAATTTATAATAGTAGTTTGAAGTAAGATTGAATAATTTATCGTATTTATTCCCGAGCATCGCTACTACTCATTTAATAATAATAAGACAATTATTTTTATCCATTCATGTTTTAGGTATTTGACAAGCACAATCGTGGCTACATCACTGCTTCGGATCTCCAAGCTGTGCTTCAATGTCTCGGCAAGAATCTCTCCGAGGAAGAGAGTAAGACTATTTAATCATTCATTCAATCGAGTCGTTCATTACCTTCATTAGACAAACTTATAGTTTCCATGATCCATTTCTGTCACTGCGTGAAATTACCGGGCGCCCAATTTTTCCCATAAAAAAAAAATTTCAACCTCGTGAGTTGATTTTTAAAAATCAATGTCGACTTCAAGGACTGTAAGGCCGCCGCCGTGCTTAAATGAATGCCATAAGCCATTGAGAGACGCGCGATCAGCCAACGGAGTTGCAAATACAGCGCAGCTTTAAATATTTTCTCAAGCCTCGCGGAAAAGTCAAGAGTTGGCATAACTGCGGCGCTCACAATAGTTCCATTGCCGACAACATTGCGCCCGACGACTTTGTCTGCGTCGTTACTCTAAAGCTCACTGCCGCTTACCTTATTTTCATTTTACGTCACATATTTTCTCTCCATGGCAAATCTACGATCGCGATACCAAACCGCATAATTTTCCTTTCTCCTACATCCATGCGGAATCAACGTTATCTTGCGCCATTTAAATACCTTGTCATCGTAATATACGTACCAATAGCAATTATAATAACCCTAATATTGTCGCGAGACATCGAACAAGTGTTCGGATGATTATTTCCTATCAAATGTAAAACTCGTTCTTGAAATATATATATATATATATATATATATATATATATATATATATGTACACATGTGGATATCTATAATATCGGTTATAATACGAAGTTAAATATCCATAAATTATAGCCTAATTATCAAATATTAAAAATTTATTTCAAAGAGATACGGAATTTTAAAGAGTACAATGATAAATTTACTTTTATATCAATTATGACGATTAATTGATGCAATAACGAAATTGATTATAATTTTCATGAACTTTGTTATAAATTATATTAACGTTCGTCATAATGATGTCGCATAAATATATCGCATATTTAAATTGTCACAAATTAAAAATATTTTCAATCACAAAGAAATGTCTTTCCACGCATTTTAATCGTAGAGTAGGGAGGAAATTTTTTAAATCAAAAACATAATGAAAAGTAACGGTCACAACGGCTCCTAGAACTTGTCTTACTTGTTGCATCATTTTTTACGAGAAAATAAGAAAACTTTTATCAAGGCAAAAATTTGACTCATTTTCTACTGTTTAAAGAAATGAGTCACTGTAATTAAGAAACTCATTAAACTGATGTTCACAAAATTATATAATGAAAGGATGAATGATTAATGTAAGTACAGTACGCTAATGATTTATTAAAGAAAAACGTTTCTTCGAATTTGGAATATCGAATATGTTCAAGAAATGACAAAAATAGGTATAAAAAAAAAAATTGTCAACATCAAATTACATTTTAGTTTAATAAAGTAAAAAAATCCAATACTAAGTGCATCCAGTTTGATTTTATGCGCTTTAATAAGAGGAAATTAAAAAAAAAAGCAGAAAATATATGCACTACAAGGATAAAACGTGTAATTAAATCATATTTCTCGTAATTTAGTAAAAAAAAAAAAAAAAAAAAAAAAAAAAAAAAAAAAAAAAAAGTTAAAGAATTTCATAAGAATATAAATAGTCTGTCTGACAAAGTACCGTGCGCGCGCCTTCATTAAGTGTTATGCTTTTGATATAAAATTGCACGGGAAAAGAGAAAAAGGCTATCATCTTTATGATTTCTGTTGAGTTTCGTTAGGGAGCGCAATGGTACTTTAGCTAAGAGCTTGATAAAGTTCCAACGGAATAAATTCATCGTCCGTCTTCGGCAACCTTTTTCTCTATCACAGCTATCCTTTATTGATTTTTTTTCTGTCCAGCTCGCTTTTTAGCTTCAATTTTAATTAATTGATTAATTGATGACAACTAGACATACGCTTTATATGGTTAAAACAATACGATTTTGTGTTAGTTAGGAGTTTCCATGACGAGTGGAAGACTTAAGTTATTCGCGAATTACAGAAAATTTACTCACTTTCTCGCTAAAATATTTCCAAGAAGTTCATTATATAAACGCGCACAGTCGATATGCCATGTGTTTGATAACAACAAAGACTAAAATTTACGCACAAAAATATAGGAATTTTTATCCAATGATATTATAAATATGAAATTTTTATAAGCATCCTGTCGATTTATTTCTTACCTTAAAGTTCTCATTTCGTTTCAACATTTTCCAAACATTTCAATATGTCATAGTTTTCATAATTTTATTCGTCTGACCACTATACTATGCAATAAATATTGACATCCATACCTTCATGATAACGATAATCAATACTTGGTGAAAAAGAAAATCTAAGACAAGATTTTTTTTTCTTTTTTAATATTTATTATATATAATTTGTTAATTCAAGAATTTTCCTTTCAGACATTCTTTTCTTCAAATATTTATAATAAAAATATTATTTACAAATAATCTATATAATTATTAAATTAATTCGATATTCATATATATATATATATATATATATATATATATATAAACATTTATAACTATTGGTTATATTGAATTAAATGTAAATTCCTTCAGCTTTCAAGAGCAAATATTTTTCTCTTTTCAATTTTACGATGATTAAATATAGACTTCAGCGATAAACGAATGCTAATGAGAATCGCTAATTATCACTTTACGCCAATTATTAAAATTATCAAAATAATCGTGGATTAAATTTCTTATTATATATTTATAATATATCAATATATCGATACTTTTAATGATTTTTATCTTTAAAATAAAAGTACGTATATTACTCTTAGATTTTTCAATTACGTTGACGTAATTTTTTTTTCAACTACAAATTTTTTCTAACTGAAACCAAATAAAGGATCGATTGTCCTTACAGTATCGTTATTTTCTATCATGCATGTAACAATAAAAATCCCTCGATGTTTCATATACACGATTGTACGTGAATGTATATTACTGAATATTTTTTTGTTTCAACTAATATACCTGCTTATATGGATAAATATTTTATATATCATAATGATGTGCGTCCGTGCTAATGAGATAATCCTTTAAATGGACAAATTTGCGCGTTTTTTCGTATAGCTTGACATTTTTAACCTCATTCTACAAGCTAACAAGGGACAAGAATAATTAATAAGATGATAGGGCCAATTTTTCTACTAAATTAGAAGTTTACTAAATCTTATCTCTTAAGTCCGTAAGCCCTTTTGTGTATTACATGTATATATACTCAATGCACAAGAATTCTGACACTTTTGAATTGCAAATCTCGAAACTCACAGGCAAAACTTGGCATTTAGTGCTCCGAAAATTAAACGTCCGATAGACGAGATGAGGAGGAGAGACAATTTGTAAGCAAACGCTCTAATGAAAAGGTCTCAGACCTTTTTTCATCTTGATTTTTTTTTTATTTTTATGTTTTTTTTTTGTTTCTTGTTTTTTTTTTTTTTTTTTTTTTTTTTTTTTTTTTTTTTTTTTTTGTTGGCTTCTATCGCCTACAAGATGAAATATTCCAAGGCTCTCGCGAGACCTTAATTGCTTTCAGAAGCGTGATTATACGTATGCACATTGCGGAATAATTAATGGTGAAACCGGCGGGTAAGGCCGTACGCGCTTTATTATAACTTTGGCAGGAAAAAGTTTGTGTTAACAGAGTTAAATACTTGATCGTAGCTATACATTAGAATTTATAGAGAATCATTTGCGATATCACGATAAGCACGTTTACGTTAGTCTTTACTTATACATTATGCAAATGGCTGTAGATCAACGAGACTAAGTCCTTGCATGTATCTAGGATATCGTGAAAATATAGAAGGATTCTCTTGGTGAGATGAATAATAGAGCGAAATAATTAGGCAGACGTCGTGAGAGTAATCTTTATGATTTATGATTCGTAAAAAGTAATTTGTGCGATATATAATTTCTTATTCAATGACTTGTGAACTATTCGGCGTAAGCTCTGTCATTAATATTGTTTAGGCTTTTTCTTATGAGAGACCTATGAACTCTCACTATTTAAAATTATTCTCAAAAATTATATCTCTGCGGTATTTATTTGTTAAATCAGCTGCTTGCCCTGCTCAAATCACATTATTGCTCAATTATTTTATTTTATTTTCTCAAGTAATTACAATGTAAAATATTCAACGATTGACCATTAATTCTAATTACTCATAATTATAATGTATTTGGTCAAATAGAATAAAGGTAATGTTACGTGAGATTAATTAGCAAACTATAGAATATTTATAAAATAATTCTACCCGTAGAAACATGTTGGGAAGCTACGCACACAATTTATCAGCAATCAAAACTCTGAAGTTGTGGCGAACTAAAAGTTTTGCTACTATAGTTAATCTTTCAATATATATATATATATATATATATATATATATATATATATATATATATATATATAAGAAACTAATAAATCATTAGGAAATTCATTCTCGAATTATTATTTCATTATATTTATTAGAAATTTATTCCCTTACAGCTAAGAGGCTAGGCAGCTAAATAAATTGTAATTGAAACAAAATTATTTTACGTAAAGATTTGTACCAATAAAATTCCTTTCGACCAATACATTAAATTAATAGCGTTTGCATATTCATTTGAATCAAAATTTCTATTAAAATGTTTTTTTTTTTTTTTTTTTTTTTTTTTTTTTTGTTAATTTATATTTATAAGTAATTTATAAGATATTTCTAAGATATTTATATTAAATAAATTTAATAAACAAATGGATTTTTCTTTTTCATCAAGTTTTCTTATTGATATGTAATTATTTTTTAATGTTAAAAATTAAAGTAAAGATATTATTTATTTTAAATTAGACTTCTATAAGAGGAAAAAAAAAAAACAAAAAACAAAAAAAAATAAACTAAAGTATTGAATCTCCACATTATTATTGTGGTAATAGTTGATGAAATTGTTAAATTTATCAATTCTTATTTAAATCAATTATAGAAATTTATGGAAATTCATTATCTATTTTACATTGTTCATGAGGTCTTGTTTAAGTACAATTAATATAATTAATTATCATACATTCTAGGTGCAAACAGATTAAAATAACGTATAATTAAAATTCAATATAAATAAAATATCGATGATTAATCAATTATACAATAATATAAGAAGAATATTTGCATTGACAATTATCCTTCATAAAATGAAATACTTATTTCAATTTTATTAACACATACCTGTTGTTCTTATGCCCATGCTATGGGCGTTACTGAAAGCACGAGTGGAAACTTGTTGAGGGAAAAACCCAGGGAAACCCCAATTTGAGCTCTAACCTGAGCATAAACAGGCGCTGATAAAACAATTATAGTACAACAATGCGACAAGAGGCATACATACTTATTGTCTCTCTCTCTCTCTCTCTCTCTCTCGCTATCTCTAAATTGTAGGCTTGCTCATGTAAAAATGCACTCCACTCGATAATCCCAATTGCAGAAACAAGCATGAAACATTGTATAATTATTGTTATTGATAATAATTATCCTAATAAGAATAAAAACTCGACCGAGCAATCGTATGGTTTCATTCGACCGAAAATTAAGACATTCGCCTTTTCATATTATATTACCAGTCTGTTTATTGCAGCAATTTGTCACATAAATGTACATTTATTTTTCTGTGTTTCTTTGTTGTAGTTCAAGATATGATCAAGGAAGTGGATGTGGACGGAGATGGACGAATCGATTTCTATGGTAAGAGAAAATTGTGCTAAACTTATTTTCATGAATGAGTTGCGTCGAGTCAAATCCTCAATGCTAAATCTAAAGCTTTGATTTGAAAACAAATAAATACTCAACAATTATTTATTCAATGTACCGATAGTAAACAAGGTAACACAGTGTTTGTGATAAAATATTATTATTCGGAAATGACAAATTCTATTGGATGCATACATTTAATTTGATGAAAATGTTACATAAAATTACGGCACTTGAAACGCTATTTTATTTAATGTAAAACATTCTCTATTCGACAGTTGTTTTTAAATTTATAATATTTTGATGTGTGCGCCTTATATTTATATACCAATAGTTTATATCCAAATTTTTAATCCAAATATCATAGGCAGTAAAAATATTGTAAATAAGAAAATTAAAGTGGATTTTTGAAGATGAATACTTTATAGAGAATATATAAAGAATTTCAATGCCATAAATAATATTATAATTATGAAATAATTATAATTTATAATTGTTAGAAAGAACCTTAGAATGTTCGTGAAAGTATCATTGTGAAAACAAATTTGCCAAGATATTCGTTTGTCATGAAGATACAAAGGGATTAATAAGGATGGAACATATATTTACGACTATTTATAAAAGGATAATGAAAATATTCATTTTACAAAACAATTTTTCGATTATTCCAAATACGAAAATTAGATCTATTTGTTAAATTCAATAAGATATAATTAAATAAATAATGGTACGATATATATATATATATATATATATATTATAAAATAATAATTATTAAATTAATAATAATACATAATTTATAATAAGTTTATAATAATGTTCGAAATAATTTTTGTAATAATTTATCATGATAAACAATAGTTTATTTACCTTTCATATTTAAAGAACTTTCGTGTTATTTGTTTAATTCTACGATAATACTATTGTTTTTATTAATTTTATTCTTCGAAGTAAAACATAAATCTTCTAAATCTTCTAATGTAAATATTAAAGTCAAAGAAAAGCAGTGGATAAATTAATAGAAAAATAGAGATGTTTGAAAATTATTACGTTGATAATGACATTACAACATACATATTATTTTAAATAGCTTTAGCTTTTCTAATTTTTACAAAAGAATCAGTTAAATTTTAAGAATTGATTATCCCATTCAACGAAAATTTTTTTGTAATTACATTAAAGTGCTCAACAAATTATTTTCTCTAGGGCTTACTTATGCCACCCATATAAATTGCTGTACAAACTTTGTAAGTGAAATTCCATTATCAACAAACATAAACACTCGCGAATATATATACACTTTTTCTAATTATCTTTTTCCATGAAAATAATAAAGCTGCTTAATTTATTTAATAAAGTTGTTTAATCGATTTTTATATAACTTTAAGAACTTTCCATTTTCCATTTTACATTTCAGAAATTACACTTTCTTATTTATTTATTATATTTAAATTATTATAGACATTAAAAGAAAAGTATTGAATTGCAGATTTAATTTTTATGTTTTAATTTTACTTTTATTAAAAAAATTAATTCGTCTTCTTATATATTGTAAAAATAATATAAATCAATTGAATTTAATAAACCCAATTGTAATGGCATTGTGTAATTGAACAATTAAATTAAAGTCTTTCGATATAATTATAAATGAACATTGAATGAATATATTTTAACCGTTAAAATTAAGCTAAAAATTTTTATTTTTATATTTATCTAGTCAATCATCATTATAGAAATATCTTATAAATATAAATAACTTATAAAGTTAGTTTAAAAGAGTCAAAAATGAACTTACATTGAAATAATAATTAAATGAATCTCCACTTTTCATACCAAATAAATCAATTTTCTAAATTTTAGCCACTTAAAGCTCCACCCATTTAATAAAATGTATTTCTACAAAATCAAAAATTTATAATCTATAAAGTTTTGAAATTTTTTTATCTCCCATCTCTTATTCGAGAAGGCAAGCAATCTCCATTGCCTACTTTCGGCATTTTAATTACAAATTAATATTTCAATTTCAAAAAGCCAATGTGAGCATGGCATTGCATTCTAGACACAGACACGCAAGAATCGTCTCGTATGTGTATTCGCAACTACATCCCCATGACTGATATAACTGTATCTCGAGAATGATCATATTTTATAGAGAATTTTATAGAGAACAGTACCAGCTGATATTTCGTTTTTTCTTTTACGTGACTTTTGTTGTAACTTGATGCTGAAAATAATCGATGCTTACAATCAAGTGATAGACAAAAAAAAAAAAAAAAAAAAAAAACCCAGAACCACAAGAAATAAATAAAATTGAATGGCTCGTACTCTTGCATTTAAGCATTATATTTTATGTTTCCATGGGAATTTAAAAAAATAGTTGAAATATCAAAACAAAAAGTACAATAGTTTCACATTTATTATGTAATTTAATATAATTGTATTTATGTAAATGTTAATACTTTTACAGGAAATAAAATAGTCATTGTCTTATAATATTGTCTATAACAAGTTATATATAAATTATATTGAACTCTAAAAGTTTGATGTTGAAAATTTCCTCGTTCGTGTAAACTGCACTGTCAAAGATAAAATATAAAAAGTAAACAATTTTTTCATCACCCAGATCTATAAACTTGATTTATTTTAATTTTAAATCAACTTTTATCTTAGTACAATATATTTATTCTGCATTCTTTGAATTTTAAACATATTTAACGTATTTTCATGAAATTGAGTATAAATATATATTGTCTAATTATATAAATTGATATAGAAGTTACTATGATTTACGATTAGTAATTATTATCAATTATATGTAGATAATGTAACAGTGTCTTTTTCTTTGCAGAATTTGTCCACGCTCTCGGTGAGCCAGGAATTGATGATGACGAAGAAGAGGAGGACGATGAGTACGAATACGAGGATGGAGCTGCTGGGGGACTCCAATCGCCGAAACTACTTTAATCTGTTCCTCTAAAAATGAATAAAGCCACCCGCAATGAGGGCTAGAAAAAGAGATAGCGAGAGAGAGAGAGAGAGAGAGAGTGAGTGAGTGAGGGGGGGGGGCGAGATAAACGAAGAAGAAGAAGAAGAAGAAGAAGAAGAAGAAGAAACGATTGGCAATCGTGCATTACCATCATTCCAAAATAAATTTACAAGAGCACTTCATAGTTCTGCATGTGAAGTAGTGATAAGAGAAAGGAGAGGTGATGAATAAGATGAAGTAGGTCCAAAAATCACGAATGTCCAGCGAACGAAATACAAATGCGAAATTTGGCGTCCGTTCAAAATCTGCGAAGGGAGTGCGGATGCTCACGCTCAGGTCCGCCAATCGTTAATAGATGCGATCACGACGGCACTTCATTACGATTGCTGAGGCTACGAATCGCATTAGATGTAAGCACTCGGGTACGATCGTTCGCGCAAATTGCCAGCGTGCGCATGCGCAATGCACTCGCGTGTCCCGCTCCGCTTCCCATCCTCCACCGCGCGGTCCAGAGCCTTATCCGATCTCTTGCAATCGTCAGTCAAGCGTTCCATTTATCTTGCGATCGAAATGTTGACTTTGTTAACGCGAAGGCTGGACGAAGCTGTAGCGATTACCTGGGAATTATATCGTTCCCAATAACTTCTCGAGTAAGATAAACTTTTCCGCTTTTGCACTATAACGACGAATTTCTTCTGCACATTTGTTACATGAAACAATCGAGCGGACTCTCTTATTATCGCATATTATAACTTTAGCTAGTAATCGCACACACGTCAAAGTCATTAACGTTAAGTTAATTTATTATAATTAACAACGAGCGAATATTTACTTTCTATTTTATTATTATTTGTTCCGATTCCATTAATCAGCGCAACTACCAATTAATTAGTATTGTGACTTTTTTTTTCAGTTTTATTGCTATTGTAAAATAATAACAGATTGGATTAGAAAAACTGTATCGAACATTCACATTGTTAATATTTTATTAAATTTTCGAATCGCATGTGACATTAATGCAATCGATTCATTTCTAATATTTAATTTGCATATTCGAGAATTTTTGTATAATTCTTGTATATAATTTACTATATATTTTCATATAGTTTAGGTACAATAATTATCGTATATGAAAATAATGTATTAAATATAATAGTCCTATTTATTATATAATAGATATAAATTAAGGAACTGACTCGCAGAAAAGCAATTTATCACCGTAGCATTTCACCTCGTATGGAAAAAATAATAAGGATCTGACATTTTTAAATGTAACAAGCTAATGATAATCGATAAATGATATAAAAATAACGCATAAGAATGTCACACGTTAATTAAATAACAATATTAAATAACTAAAATATCTTCTTCTTTATTTGTTTTTCTTTTGTTGTTGTTTTTTTGTTGTTGTTTTTTTGTTGTTGTTTTTTGCTAAAGTAAACAAAAAAATGTTAAACGAATTAAATGATATTTTATGCAATGAGGATCAAAATTTCAATAAATATATTCGATTATCTCGGTCGAGCGAAAAACTTTCAAGATGCATCGAGAGACTTTCTCTATGAGAAAGTACACTGCATTAGCTATACATAAATAAAAATACATATAAGTATATTATAAGATAATGTCTCTTAAAAAATTTTCTCAAAACATCAAACACGAATCGAACAAGTTATTCTATCTACGGTAAAATCTGTTAGACGTCAAACTTATATACAAATTTCTCAATTTTCATAATATTTCATATCAAAATTGAGAGAGGGTATGACAAAAATATTGTGTCTAATTAATTAATTAATCATCAATTTTCTCAATACAAGTGGTGTAAATCAAACATGCTTAATATAAAATAATTCTAACATCTAGCTACTAATCAAAAAATACTTTCCAAATTTAATAAATATGTTGGTACTTATAATATTGTGAAACCTATGTCTTATTAAATTCTCACACTCCCCTAAAAAGTAATAAAATTAAGTTTTATTTCCATCCTAATAGGTACACGCAAATGATATAAGAATTAAATTTGCATTAAATTCAAACTTGTGTCAGATTACCAGATTATGCACTTAAACATGAATTATTAAAATAGTCATTTAATAATAAATATCGATCTATAATATTCTAGTGTTGTACACGCTTAAAACTTTATAAAAATATTAAAGATTGATTGTTTGATAAAAATATTATATATTAGACATTGTACTTTTTTTAAAACCTTTTTTTTTTTGAAAAAAACAGATGAACTTATAAAAAGAATAAAATACTTTTCTCTTGTTCAAATTTTAATACCTAAAGAACTAAGTATGCAAAAACTTTTTTTATAAATTGTCAAAAGTACTGATTTATTTGGTATGTTCAAACAAGCAATTATTGTATATATATACATATACACACACACAGTAAAACCGTTAATGTAGTGTATTAACTTACGTAAATTTTTTCAAATGAAAAGCAATCTATTACAAAAAGTGCAATGTTATTTATCTTTATGATGATAAATTGTCAAACAGGAAATACCTAATTACGATTTATAAATACATATATTGTTTTCAAGCTATATATTTTTTTAATTTTTCACGGAATTTATGGTTTTAAATCTAAATAAACTGAATTTAAAAGAATGTTTATTTGACGTAAGTCAGTTAAATTTTATTAAACTACGTCACTTCCGTATAGTACTGATATTTCATTATACTTTACCGAGTGATTCTAGTCATAATTACGTTTCAAGACTATGCATGAATATATATATATATATATATATATATATATATATTTATTTACTTATTTATATATTTATATATTTGGAAAATCGATTTAATCGCTAATAAACAATAAATCTGTAAACTTATAGCTTATATTTTGTTCTCTGTGATTCAATAAATTGTTGTCATCTTTTCAGCTTTATATTTATTATTATTATATAGTATGACTTATTTTATGTATAAATTCATAAATATTTTTATGATTTCCTTGGCCATTTATTTTAAATATAATTAATTAATCGATCTACAAGTGATATTTATCTTGAACCTTCAAACATTTGTTTTTTTTTATTTTAAATATGTTACAGTTGCATAGGTATATCAATAAACACTCAATTTTATTAAGTTCATTTTTATTAGCGATAAATAAACTTACATATTTATACAATAACAATATAGTACTCTCATAACTCTCAGAAAATATAAGATCTATACGCATTAATTCGTAAGTGATTTTTTGTTTTACATCATCTGACACAAATTAACTCACCGAATTACTAACGACCTAACGAAGTAAAGCTTAAAAGCGTTTCAATAATCACAATTTTATCAATTAATTAATTTACTTATATATATATATATATATATATATATATATATATATATATATTTAATAACGTGTATACTTGTATACATAATTTTCTAATAATCATATTAATTACTCCAAGGCTTAGTCTTTTTTTAATTTTTTCTAGCTTCTTCGTTTGATCGTCCAGTGTTGCGAGTCACGCAAAAATACACCGTATTTCTTTTATCTACGTTTGATTAAATTTCTTTATTTTTATTTATACACACATTTTGTGTAAAAAGTTGTGTGACCCATTTGGAAAGCAGGTAAGTGGAACAATGTTTACAATTATAAATTACTACTATAGGCTTTTAATCTTTCAGCAGAATGATCATGTATCGTTTGTTTGTTTTTTCCTTTAATAATAAAGTTAGTGGAAGAAAATTCGTTGTCGACATGATCAAATTTTGTACTGACACGATTAATCATTTTATTTTTTTTTTTGCATTTTTTGTTTTATCATATGTGGTCATTTTATCGACAGGGTTTTCATTTAAATTTAGCAGTCATTGTTAAACGCTGTATAACGTTTGCTCATATTGTTCACGAAATTTCTTTCACAACGCTTGAATAAACGAATCATTCCCATTTGTCGTAAGACAAAGTTTGTCTTACCATTGCAGTTAAAAATAGATAAGTCATTAAAGGATTCTCATATTTCGCTGCTTAAATATTTTTGTAAAATAACTTGAAGAATTAGATCGTGTTAATGCCATACATCGACCCACGTGTATACACAGTCATATACAGAAACATGTATATACGACTATGTATATTCATACTTATATGTGCATGAACATGTATACTAATGTATGGATAATAGTATATTACATGTTTCAAATAAATAAATATATATGTATTTATTTATTTATTTATTTATATGTATTTTTATATACTTAAAGTTACTTACGAATTGTAAATTTGTGTGTCTCCTCTGTAACATAAAATTTTGTCGATACTCGCATATCCAGTCACTCGTGATTAAAAAAAGATCAATGAAATTTATACACATACACTCTCACCAAAACAGGAACACCATTTCGTGCTTACACATATATTGCCAGAGCACGCGGAAAGAAATGAAACGTTCATCGATTTAATTTGCGCGAGGCTTTTCTATAATATATATATATATATATATATATATATATATATATATATATAACGCCAATACACAGCCGCAGAGCACTTAATTACTTGAGAAAGAACACATGTGCTGCCGATCAGAACTTCGCACAAATAATTTTATGAACGTTGCGCAATTGCCAGCGGAAAGCAATTTCAATTGATAATCTCTACGACGTTGCGTTGTCTGATCTAATCGACAACAAAGACTGAATAAACGACTTGCATTTCCATACTGCAAGCACCAATTATTGATTATTTACATTCTATATGAATTATTCAGTTTATCCGTAAAATTCGGTGAGCCTGAATAATAATATCCATTGTAAGCTCTGATTCGAAACAAGATTTACTCCTTCTCTTACATTTTTTATATTTTATGTCTCATCAGTAATACCTTAAATACTGTTGTTTTTTATTTTGCATCAACAGCTAAATGTGTTGTACATACGTCATTAAAAATTTCTTTTCAATTTCTATATATATATATATATATATATATATATATATATATATATGTATATGTATGTATGTATGTATGTATGTATGTATGTATGTATGTATGTATGTATGTATGTATGTATGTATGTATGTATGTATGTATGTATGTATGTATGTATGTATGTATGTATGTATGTATGTATGTATGTATGTATGTATGTATGTATGTATGTATGTATGTATGTATGTATGTATGTATGTATGTATGTATGTATGTATGTATGTATGTATGTATGTATGTATGTATGTATGTATGTATGTATGTATGTATGTATGTATGTATGTATGTATGTATGTATGTATGTATGTATGTATGTATGTATGTATGTATGTATGTATGTATGTATGTATGTATGTATGTATGTATGTATGTATGTATGTATGTATGTATGTATGTATGTATGTATGTATGTATGTATGTATGTATGTATGTATGTATGTATGTATGTATGTATGTATGTATGTATGTATGTATGTATGTATGTATGTATGTATGTATGTATGTATGTATGTATGTATGTATGTATGTATGTATGTATGTATGTATGTATGTATGTATGTATGTATGTATGTATGTATGTATGTATGTATGTATGTATGTATGTATGTATGTATGTATGTATGTATGTATGTATGTATGTATGTATGTATGTATGTATGTATGTATGTATGTATGTATGTATGTATGTATGTATGTATGTATGTATGTATGTATGTATGTATGTATGTGATGATGATGATGATGATGATGATGATGATGATGATGATGATGATGATGATGATGATGATGATGATGATGATGATGATGATGATGATGATGATGATGATGATGATGATGATGATGATGATGATGATGATGATGATGATGATGATGATGATGATGATGATGATGATGATGATGATGATGATGATGATGATGATGATGATGATGATGATGATGATGATGATGATGATGATGATGATGATGATGATGATGATGATGATGATGATGATGATGATGATGATGATGATGATGATGATGATGATGATGATGATGATGATGATGATGATGATGATGATGATGATGATGATGATGATGATGATGATGATGATGATGATGATGATGATGATGATGATGATGATGATGATGATGATGATGATGATGATGATGATGATGATGATGATGATGATGATGATGATGATGATGATGATGATGATGATGATGATGATGATGATGATGATGATGATGATGATGATGATGATGATGATGATGATGATGATGATGATGATGATAGTGATAATGATAATGATAACAATTAAACAATATGCATTTAATTTGTTCCTTTAATATATTTAATTATTTATAGTAGAAAAGGTGCATTTAAATGATCTCAAAGTACGTGAAATTGCAATTACATTTGTTGTAGAAAAATATAAAAAAAGAACATGGCGAATGAAAATTTACAGTGAAATAAATATCGCTCGGTGGCACATTTCGAAATATTTTTTTTTAACGATTTGTTTAATTTATAAATCTTTTTATTTATTGTTCCATTAAAAAATCATGTTTGTTTATGACGTTAAATTATATTTTACATAAATTTCTATGCTTTTAGAACTTTTACACTGTTAGTATAGTATAATAACAAATTTAATTTACAAAAAACTATTCGTTTCTTCATTGTATCACTGTTAACCAAATCTGTTTAAACATTCTCGTATTAAACTACTGATTTTTTTCTTTGTATTTTTTTATTTTGTTAGAAAAGTAATATGAAATGGTCGTCTACTATTATATTAATTTATATATGCTTTTCTATCAAATTTATATAAATTATAACTTAAAATCATAAATCTATAATTATCGATGGAAAATATTTCCATTCTTGGTTAAAATCATCGATCAATTGAAATACTTTATTTAGCCCATACCTGATCAGCCGTAAATTAATTTTATTTTTATCAACAGTTTTAGCAACACTACTTCTCGTTATCCGTCTAACATTGTAAATAGCATTGCCAACAGAATCTCACATTGACTTCTCAATGTAAGTAAGAAATAGAAATCAAATATGAAAGAATGAATGAATGAATGATTGATTGAAAAAATGAATGAAAATAAAAAATATCCACTCCTGTCAATTACACGTGTTGTACAATTAATTCTACATAAATACTTTCCGTTAAAGACCAAACTCTCTCAAATATACCAAGGCTAATCAACTGGAAATATGCTCGATTCGTAAGCTCATAGCTCGGAAAACTAATGCAAAGTGAAATTAGATAAGGATGCATCGATAGAGAACGACAAAAAAATTTAAAAAAAAAACGTACAGTTAATGGCAAAGATAAGTCGATACTACAACTATCCAAGTGAATTATAAATAAGTAATGCACAACGAGCACAATCGTCCTCTTTAATTACAAGAGAATGAGCTATGAGAATGGCTGGAATGGGCGTGATAACCGATTGTTTGTTAAGTCTATAATTCAAAAAAAAATGGCCGTTACCATGAATGGATGGGCCAATAATTAGAGAAGGACCAAGCGCCGACTAAAGAAAGTATAAAAATTGATCATCGCCTCGAAGCCGTTGAACGTTTCATCCTCGAAACGATAGCCAAGCCTTTCACCACTCATCGAACTCCACGAGATTCTCAATCCGTTGAATGAGTGTCGTGCGAGAGGAAGGGAGGGAGTCGTAAGAACGTACTACTCCCGCATCCCCGAGCCTATGCTCGCCTCACGTGATTTACGTAAACTCGCGTGGTCGGCGAATTCGTTGCGCCCGGTGCATCGAGAGGGCGCGTGACTCGGCCGACCGGGGCGGGAGAAGCTCGACGGGCGATCGTGATGCGCCGCGGACGTGGGTAACGATTCCCGGTCGGCGAATTCGTTGCGCCCGGGGCATCGAGAGGGCGCGTGACTCGGCCAACCGGGGCGGGAGAAGCTCGACGGGCGATCGTTGTGCGCCGCGGACGTGGGTAACGATTCCCGGTCGGCGCCCGGGCCCCGCGCGTCACGTGGAATGTGGAGCCGGGCGTCGTGGCCGGCTCTCGTCGAGAGCGGGCCCTCAGATCACCGGCTCCTCGTCCGTTTCTTCGCTGTCCTCGATCCGCTGGTGGTGGTTACCGCCGGCCATCGCTGAGGACGTCGAGGCGTAGTGATCGGAGATGGTGGTGGTGACCAGAGGCAGCGCGCTGAAGGAGTTGGTGCGCGGTCGCCTGTGCTGCTGGCGCTTGTACGGCTGCTCGCTCTCGCCGCCCAGCCCTTGGGCCGATATGAGGGGTCGCAGGGCCGAACGTAGCGACCAGTAGAGACGAGGGTACGTCATCTCCTGGCGGCCTATCGGATCCTCCTTCTTTTTCTGCGGGTGGATCAAAACCGTTAATTAGTCCGTTGAACGCTGTGCTCGGAATCGGGGATCCTGGCTGGGAATCTCTATTGTCCTGGTAATATGCAAGCGAAAGTGACCGAAAAGTGACGAAAGCAGTGACCGTTTCATAGAAGAAATTCTTTAAATGTCGATTATCACCCAGAAAGTGTTTTTAGCTTTATTTATACCGTCGTCAATTTTTCGTCGTCATCGTCGCTCATATTATTACAATATTTTGGCATCACCGGTTCGGCCAATTACGCCAATGCTATTGTAATCATTAAATCGAAGGTTTTCAATTATTAAGCGATCAAGTTATTATATTTGCTCACGTACATTAGGATTTTCATGCGAAATTCAGCTCATCGAGTACTGGTGGCAAAATATAAAAGGCCAGGTATTATTGAAAATTATGTCTTATTGTTGGAGATGCCCATTTTTATTAATAAGTTGTTAATTTCCGATTTACTAAATGACTAATCCGTTAGAATGTATTTACTGTTAAAACATTCCTTCATTAATGAATAATTCGACGATCAATAATATGTATTTTAGAGAAAATTGATTTAAAAGCTTTTATAATCGTTTTTCCACTAATCACCTTCCACGACCTTTCGAGCGTTCCGTAATCTTTTAAAATAAGGTATGCACGTGTGTGCTTGTGTCAATGCAACCTGTCAATACAAATGTATTTCAAGGGACAAATTCTTTATCCCGAATGCTTCGCCAACAAGGAGGACGAAAATGTTTGGTCAAACATGGGATACAATAACGCGTACGAAATGTCGAATGCCGAGAGTGGGTAAGAGGGAAGAATGTAAAATTTTTAGTTTTGAAAATGTTTAAAAAAATGTAAAAGTTACCCTAACCGATTCGCCACTCTCGCTAGCCAAATCCACGAAGATCGGTAATTTCTTGTTGTCGATGAAGAGCTTGAGCGCCTTCTCCCTCACGTAGACGAAGGGCCTTACGACTCTGAGCGACTGCTCCCTTATGTAATAGTGGGCCTTCATGGTCCTTAGCCTGCCGTTATGAAAGACGGAGGACAAGAAGCCCTCGGTAAGGTCGTCCAAGTTCTGTCCGAGTGCCAAGACATTGTAACCATTGCCTTTGGCGAGGGCGTAGAGCTTGGCCCTCGTGGCCTTCTCGCAGAAGCTCGTGCAGGATCCGACGGGTCGCGTTCCGTCCTGACTAGTGGCCGAGTCCTTGGTCTCGGTTTCCTTGCCGTCGTCGCCGAGGCCCTCGTTGAAGTATGGCACGTTAAGGGCTTTGAAGTAGGTCGCGAGGCCGGCCAGCTCCTCGCTCCCGTAGTCGCAGACGCTCGCGACGCCGATCTCGAAGTCGATGCCCTTGGATCGGGCGTAAAATCTGTATTGCCTTAAGGTGTGTAAGAGCGTGAGGGAGCTCTTGCCGCCGGGCGCCAGACAGAGGAGTATCCTATCGTTGTCCTTGATCATGTCGAACTCCTGCATGGCCTCGACCGTCGGCTTCCAGATGTTCTTGGGCGGACAGTGCCAGTGGCCACCCGTGTGCTGCTCGTCCCCGGTATCGAGGACGCCCTCGGCGTAAGGCGTCTGCTGCGAGGCGGTGAAGAAGATCTCGTCGTCCTCGGAGAGGTCGTCGTTGGCCGCGGCCCGGCTCTGCTTGCAGAGACTCGAGGGATTGGCGTTGCCGAAACGGGGCCGCCGGGCGCAGCAGCCATTGGTGTTGAACTCGGCGCTGCTGCTGCGCCCGAGATCGCCGACCGAGCCGTCGACCGAACGGTCGCTGTCGTGAAACGAGAGATTGATGCCGCTGTCCTGGGAACTGACCGAGTTCACGGCCGAGTAGATCTTGGGTAGGGTCTTGTCGGGCTCGCTGTGCTCGCCTTCGTCATCGTCGTCCGTGTTGTTGCTGTTAGTGTTGGTATTGACGGCCTTGGTCCCGTCAACGATGCTCCCCGGCCCATCCTCGCTCGGACTCGGCTTCACTACGTAAATCACGGTCTCGTCGGACGAACACTCGGAGGACATTTTGCTATCGTGCTGCTGGGAGGAGAGTTCGGTGAGTTTGCCCATTGGCACGGGAGTGCGCGATCGGGACGAGCTCTGCCCGGGTAGGATCGTGCGACGTCGCTCCGCCGGGGACGCGCACCCGGATGACGACTTCTCGTCCGGCGAGTATCTGTAAATGCCAATTGTTATATGTTGAGTCATCAGATTTGTGAAATTTTCGGCGATTGTTGTGACGCGTTTATATGTAACAACAACAACTACGTTCGTGGTGCTGTAAGTAACCGTTTTTGATAAGGATGGCGCGACGACTCGGCGCTTCGTCATTGTGCATTAGAAGATAATTTTTCACAGTGCTGCTCGTGACAAAGTGGTTCTAAAATATATTTTAATATCGGGAACATTCGACTCTCGGCGTCGGCCTCTGAGCATCCAAGTCCTAGAAATGCCAATATGGTGAATAATAATGCATTGCGAAAGGATTCGATGTGCCGTGAATGTACATTGAAACGTAAAGTTTTACAAGTACATTTTTGATGGCGTGAAAATGTATATTCGACACGAGCAAATTGACAAAAGATAATTTAATTACTTTAAGACTTATTGAAATTACCTAGTTTGATTATGAGAATGTCCTCTAATTTACGATATTTAAGCTGCGTTGGCTAGATATTATTAGCGAGCTATTATTAGTCTCATTGCGAATGATGTCGATGTCTCGATTATCCCGTGAAATAGCTCGGATCGTTCGTTTCCATGTTTCGGAGGCATTGACAGAGGCAATAAATTTATACGTATTCCTTAAATCCTTAATAATTCTGCTCCAAGAGCATTTCAGCCTCGTCGTTTAAAGCATTATATTATAATATAAAGGTGCATGCAAATTGACTTGATGTAAAAATATCGTACGAGCGCCACTTGTCCCTATCAAATTGAGTTTTACAATTATGCTTTAATGTTTACTTTTCGGCGCTTCAAGCAAAAGCAAGTATCGAACATTTTTAAATTGTATTCGCAGAAGTAATCACCCAAATCTTAAAGTGCGTCGGAGTCATATCGTGGGTAGCATTTGTCATCAATCACTGAAAATTAAGATGATTTCTCTTAATTCATTGATAAATCAACAAGTTATCATATCAGTCAAACAACAATTTTGCTTGGTGCGACATCGACATTTTAAAATAATAAAATGTGAATTAACAGGACACGCGGTAGAAAATATAGTAGCGAATGGAATGATGATTTTGAAAATGCCCGATCGTTACATTACGTCTCCGAGTAAATAAACAGAAGCGATACCACCAGCAAATAAAAGACTGCAGCACTCGCGCGCACCGGCCGAGCACTGGCAATTAAGTAATTAATTGGCGCTCGAATGTAATTATTAAAAAAAAAAAAAAAAAAATTAAGTCTAATATCGTAATTAAATCCAATTAGTTTGGATAAACAATAATAATTGATGTATCGATGAGAGCCATTGTCAATGGGTCGTGAAATACAAAGCTTGAAAGCACAGAAAAGTTCGAGTTACCAGCATACGGGGAATAAGGAGGAAGTCTCACCTGTGCAGCCCGTCAACCGAATTAACCATACATCGGATCTCCGATTTCACTTCACTGGCCATCTCCTTAGAAAATTCCATGAGGTACTCGGCAATGTCGCTCGCCGAGAAGGAGTCGTGGTGCTGCTGCTTTTCCAGGGGACGATGATGATCGGTGGCGTTGCTCTCGGAGAGTGCGTCGTCGACCTTCGATATGACCTCGCGTATCTCGGACTTGATTTCCGTGGCGAGCTCCTTGGTCACTTCCTTAAGGTAGGCGCGCAGGTCGTCCTCGGAGCTGTGGCTCCTCGCGCACATGAGGACGGGCGAGGAACGACCGAGACGATTCGTATTTAATGCCGAGTCGAACGACGACGAGCAAGAGCCTCCTGTTTGCATCGAAATATTCAAGGTCACATTCGACTCGATCAAAATCCAGCCGATTTGCTAAAGCTCGCAAAGTCCTACAAATAGGAAAATCTCGTTCCCGTTCGTTAATCGTTGGCACGTACGTCGTCTTTAACTTTATTTCTACGTATGCGCGCGACAATTGCAATTGTACGTTGTTTCTTCATCTCTTTGCACGCGCGCGCGCCTCTTTAAATTCATTGAATTCTTTTGATCGGCCCGCTACGACGTCTTTACGCATAAAAAAAAAATATGAGTAAAAAATGAAGGGAAGAAAAAATAATCTTAAGTAGCGTCTCACTGATTATAGATATTGCTTTGCATCGCTAATATAGCGAACTAATATTTGCACATGCGAACCGCGTATTTATCGATTACATGGAAGCTTTAGTTTATTATTGGGCGTAAATCGTTGGTGGCTCGTTACGGGTAAGGAAGCCGCACGCTTTCCCACGCGTTTTATAATGATAAGAAGATAGGTGCAGTGGAGATGCTTGGCTCCTTGGATAGAGGACACTCGATATTTTATCTCCGCACGGGATTGTTGCAGCTGGTAGCTACTGCATGTAGCGGGGCTCGGTGACAAGGTGGGCTCGGAGCCGAAATCGAACGAATCCCCGCTGATGAAGCGTAAGTGACGCACCTGGCGAGATGTTGGGCACGTGTCCGAGGGAGGATGCGGACCTGCCGGGGCTGCCGTTGGCGTCGGAATCAAGCGATGCGTTGAGCTCCGTCTGGCTACTGCAGCTGCAGTGCCGATGTCGGCTCTGGGTGTTGGCCGCTGCTATCCCGAGGCTGGCGAGGGTCTGGGGGCTCAGAGGTATGGGCACGGGGGAGCTCGTGCCGTCCGCGGTACCGCAGCGCACCGGGCAGCTCGAGGAGCTCCCGAGGGAGTTGCAACGGCCGCGAACGATGTACTTGGCCGAGTCAGGACTGCCGCTGCCGCTGTCTACGTTGGTCGGGGTCGCGCTCGCGCTGCTCGCCGATCTCTGCTGTTCACTGCCGATAAGCCGCGTGATAGTCGGCCCCGAACCTGAATGTCAATTTCACATTTTAACACCTAACACTTTCTAACCTGATCCCCCCCTCCATGCAATACCATACTACAACTAATCCTGCATATTCATACTCCATTTTCCCGCTTCTATTCTGGCTCTTTCTTTCTCTCGCCCCCCCCCCCCACTCACTCTCGCTTATGAAAAATTTATAAACTGTCGATCGAACGAAGAAAGTTTGGTGGCAGAATGTACAAGGCAGGCGAATCAAATTGGTGTGCGGCTTTGAAGGATATTTTTTTCGAGCGAGCTCCCCTAAGAGCTCACATCCTTTATCTTAAAGCGACTGCGAATCCTAAAATTTTAATTTACCGTGGCATTCATCTCGTTTTGCTTTTGCTGTTCGTTCCTCAATGCATTTTAATGCGCTGATTGAAATATGAAATATGACATAAGAATTTACAGTCAGAATTACGTGATTAGATGGTTCCTTTCGTGCACAGCTTATAAAATGTAAAGGAAACCTTATGCAATGGAAAACAATTGGACTATTTTTATTCTAAATATAAGTGCACAAAGAACGGAGACAACAAGGGAACGAGCGAACGCTTATCAATATTCTACTTCAACGAGTAATATGAAATAATCAGGCGTTGAGAAAAAAAGTTGTTTATGCTCTTGTTAGTCGGTTAAAAATAGATAACTTATGTTTTTAAATGATGCATGTTTATAAATTATAGAGCGATATATTTATTGTGTGTGTGTGTGTGTGTGTGTGTGTGTGTGTTTTTTTTTTTTTTTTCAATGAAACAGAAAGTAAAGAAAAGAAAAGGAAAATCTGTAAAACAATGAAGTTACGGGTAATGCGTTGCTTTAGCCTCTTCGTATAAAAGTTTTGATTAATTAATTCTTTCATCGTACGTCGTATTGTAATGCTAAAAGTGACAATATGCCTAAAACAAAACAAAAAAAAAAAAAACAACAAGACAAAAAAGTATCTACATACAATGAAACAATGAAATAATTTGCAAGTGAAAGTCACGTCACGTTATAAATTATGTCTCATAAAATTTTCAACAAAGATAATCATTACATCTTATATAATGTGCAAAGATACGGGAAAGATCGACTTTATCTTTAACGAGCCGTAACACTTGCGATAAATATAGATCAGAAATTGAAACGATTGCGAGAACGAACATCTCGAAAGATCAATTCCAAATCCTGCACGATGCTACGTTACGAAACATATTTCAATCGACTTAACAAGACCATATTATTTGAAAATACATGACAAACAATTATCGACTTTCCTCTCCTTCGATTCGCCTTCTTTCTCAACAAAACCTCACGCGTGGCGCGCAGAAAGGCTCCCGGTATCCCAACAACACGAAGAATCAAGTAACCAATCAAGCGTCCTGTAACAACCTCATCCCACCAGTTGTAAGCCATCGAGTGTGGCCCCTTACCGAGAATCCCGGCCGCGGCAGTGGTTACGGCCTCGCCCACGGCGAACCTGATGCTGGGCATGGGCGAGCCTGGACAGGTGGCCGGCGACTTCTGGCCTAGAGCACCGAGATCATCGTCGTCGGTCTCGCTGGTAGGCTTAGGGCCGCCCCGAACGCGACGAAGCTCCGCCGGGCAGCTGAGGGCCGGGAGGCTCCGATGCCGCGGTGAATTCGGGGAGACCAGAGGATTTGTTGAGCGCGAGGCGTCATTGTTGAGCCTGCGAATACCGAAACTAGAGACAGGATGAAGAAGGGGGACGAGCTCGGTTAGTGTCTTTGGGCTGTTAGGATGGCTTAGGATAGCGGTCGTGACATCCATGTCTTGGATTACTTAAGGCGGGTGCGCGACATTTTAAGTGACGTTTATGAAGAACAGCGCCGCGAACGGTCGCCATCTCTATCAATGATATTACTTTATTTTTCAATTAAAGTATACTCGGCAAAGCCATTCAACAACAAATATCCAACGATTTTACATATGGGATATTAGTATTCCAATGTTAACTAATGCCAATTCGTTTACCACGAACGCTTGGTCCATAGCGCAATCTAACCTTTAAGCGTTACACGAGTAAATATGTGTTCGTTATGGAAATTCTTTTTGCAGCGAAAGAAAAAGTCGGAATTTTGTGTAAGTAAGTAGAGAGGGTAAGTGTTCACGATATTAACGGTTAAAGCGACAAATGCTCGATTCACGGAGTTATTAAATTGGCGCACAAAGCCAGTCGCAATCAGATATATGCGCAGAGCAGAATGACGAGAAATTGTTATTGAAAAAGCGCGAGGAAAAAGGAAAGAGGAAGCGTCGGGTAAAGCCAAGGCCAAAGTACCGAGGGAAGGGAGTTTGACGTCTGTTTGACGTTGAGTGGGCGTGTGTGTATGGGAGGGTGCGAAATGAGAGAAAATAATCTAACCAAGAGGCTTCGAATTGTGCGAGCTTGTAAGTCGAGGGGTCGAATGGGACGTGATGCTTGACGTTCTGCGAGTGCCCGAGGAGAAGATCCTGGGCTTCGTGCGGCAGCATAAACCACCGGAGCGCCTCGCTCTTCTCATCGAACGAGACGCTCCGGTCGATCTGCATGGGGTAGCGCTGCGCCATCTTCCTGGCCCTATTGAAGATGTTGCGGGCGGTTTGGAGAGAGTCGCCGTAGCTCTGGGGGAAGACGCCGGGTCCGGAGACGCGCCTCTCCGTGGCGTTCATGCGCCCGTCCGTGTAGCGTATCGAGCCAAGCCAGCGTCGGTCCTTGAAGACGCTATTCGTGTGGTGGCGCCACTCGCCCGTATCCGGATTAAGCACATATTGGGGCAGCAGCTTCCAGCCCTCGGTCGCCACCATCTTCAGTGCCTCGAGGACGAAGGCAACCTCGGCCTCGGACATGAAGTAAGGGAAGGTAAGGCGGGCAAAGCCCGGGCGCAGCGTTTCCGCGTTCGTTTCGTCGCGGCCGCCGTCGCTCTGTCCGCTGAAAATTCAACAGCTCAGCACACTCCTCCTACCTCATCGATTTCATCTCTCTCTCTCTCTCTCTCTCTCTCTCTCTCTCTCTCTCTCTCTCTCTCTATCCTACTCCTTCTCTCTTGATTATGCAACTAACATGGTTCTGTTCCAAGTGCGCGTTTAATGATTTTTTCCTTTCCTCAACTTATACCGAAATACTTATACAATTTACAAATATTTTTCACTTTTTAATTATTTTAATACATAAGAACCAATGTAATCTCAATATGTAGGATTATTTCATTATTTAAAAGTTAATATCCGTTGAGTAAATATATTACACTAGAGTTTTCTTCTTTTTCTTAAGTTGCGTCTTTCAACGAGTATCCCTACTTTTTGAGAAATAACGTCCATAAAAATTCATATGCCTTTAAGATATCATATTATGTACAATTAATTGTGCAAATATTCTAATTTTTCTAATGATACAATATCACTGACCGTAGCGTTATCTTTAACACGTTAGCATAATTATAAGATAGTATACCTTTTATGCTCTTTTACCTAATGAATATTTATAATTGTACACTATAATTGATATTGGATTACGTTTGAGGATTGGAGAGCAAAAGATTTCCCTCTTGCACCTACATTACGACGTAATCAGCAATAGGACATTTTTTTCACCAATCGAATCCTTTATTGTTAGCTCCTTGCTCGTGTCGTGAGCACAGCCACGCGTTCGAGCGATAAAGAGAAAAAGGATAATTATTTTAAGACTCGATAATTTAAGCGGAACAATTGAAGGGGCACTAAACGAGGTGACCTGAGTCGAGAGAGTGAGAGAGTGAGAGAGTGAGAGAGTGAGAGAGTGAGAGTGAGAGAGAGAGAGAGAGAGAGAGAGAGAGAGTGTGTGTGTGTGTATGCCAGTGGAAGAACTGGAGAAGTAAAAATCTCGGCAGTGATCGATGTCGACTTGTCGTGACCGATTACGCACGCGTGCGGATTCTCCACGTACCTTCGCAGCAAAAGCGCTTCGTACTCCTTGGCGAGCTTCTCGTCGATGCCCATCAAGTCGTGGGCGTAACGTCCAGCGCAGGCGCATCCGCCACGCGCCTGCACGCCGAAAACGTCGTTCAGGACAGCGCAGACAAAGTTGTGATGGAGGAAGGTACCACGGGGATGGCGCACCATGAACGAGAAGGTCGGCAGTCGCTTCACACTTTGCGAACTGCAGCCCAGAAGTATGAGCTCGGGTATCGTGCGCACGTGCGATAAGACTTGTCTAGTGAAAATGTAGAGAGTAGTTTGTGTGAACGATTGCCGTTGGGTAACAAAAAGTCCGTTAAAAGTAACGGCTGGCTGTAGAGACCGATAAGGCGACACCCGGAATTTGCATTGACAGCTCGTTAAATAGGCAGTAAAGAGGAAAATGAAGGCGCGTTAAGAGAATTTATAAGGATATTTAAATCGACGGTAACCGTTGCCCATAAATATTAACGATCGTTCATCGATACGCGCGGCAGCGTCACACGTCATAGAGAAATTAGGCTTCGAGGGGAAACGCGTGGCGGTGGACAATCGCCGTAGGCTTAATTAATGAAATAGGCTCGATAGATAACGACCGACTCACATCTTCATTACGTAACAACTCGACGCGATGGACGGATAAACCGCCGGTTAAAATTGTTCTTAAAAAATGTCCGCCCTCCCGATATTGCCAATCAACTGTACAGCAGCACAATGCGGAATTTACGCGTCGTTATAATTGTCATAGGCGGACTCCCGAGGCAACGAAACCGAGACCTCATGAATGTTCCACCGATTAACGGCCGCGGATCACTGGCCCCCGTAAATCTCGATAGTCGCCTGACGTAAGGAGAGGGCGACGAACTCACCTCGATATTTTGTCCTGCCTTGCGGCGATGGCCTGGTGCGTGATGTTTTCCTTGAGCTGGACCGCGAGGCCGCAGCGTATCGCCTCGACGACGCCGCCGCTGCCGCTCTCGTCCCTGAGCTCCGGGTCGCGCATGTAGCGATGCGAGTCCCGCATGTCTTCGGGGCAGACGTCCTCGCCGAGGAGGGATCGCTTGGCCACAAGGACGCCCGGGGACTGGGCCCCACCGATAAACTTGTGCCCCGCGAATATGATCGCGTCCTTGTGCACCGTGCGCTCGCCCACTCCCGGCAGGTTCGGATTCATCTCGACCTTGAGGTAGGGAGCTGAGGAGGAGAGGCGAGGGAGTCGTGCGTGAGCTGATTTGCAGATTGGTGGCGTTGGCCGAGGCGGGTCGAAGAGGCGAAGAGGCGAAGAGTCGAAGAAGGGCGCGGCTGATAAGAATTAAAGCGTGGCTCGGCATTGGCCAGTTTCAGCGTGCTGAGCATCTTTTTTGTTTTTTTTTTTTTGTTTTTTTTTTGTTTTGTTTTTGTTTTTGTTTTGATAGTGACAGCTCCCTTCGCCTCGCCTTCCGTTCAATTTCTCGTAAGCTTTTATTGATCCACGTAGGCACGACGGGGCAATTGGCTTTTAATTTTAATGACGGTTACGAATTTGTATTTATTCCGAGAATTTCCTTTCGAAATGTTATTAAATATTTTTGACGTGGATGCATGGATAAACAGCCGTTGAACATTGCAATGAACCTTTCCTTCTTAAATCCGATCCTTATTATTCAGCACTATATGTCGAATGCTTTTATTTTATCTTTTTTTTGTTGAAATAGCTGACGAACAGCTGCCATAAGGATATTCGATTTTCGATAGTAGATAACTCGCTTTTTTGTTTGTTTGTTTTATTTTTATTAACGTTATAAATAATCGATACTTTTCGTTTCCCTAGAGAATTGGCTAGACTTTTGAATTATTGGTAGGATGAATACCAAATAACAGACTTTGCATTAAATTGCCCGTGGAAAGTACGGAATTGCATTAGAAAAAACATTTATTGTATGTGTATTATTAATTAGGTGAGCCGGTAAGGAGTTCAAGTATATTCGTATAAAGATATCGTCACTGTACGGGGAAGAATCTGAATCTTTTTTTAACGAGCGTTAAAACTATATATTTCGTGAAATCCGAAAATAAGCGAATAAAGTTTTCAAGGCTGAAGAAGTTTTATCGTGCACCAATTTTATATTTTTACATGATTAACGACGTGGCAATGTTATTCAAATAAATTTTATATTTTTACGCGTATTATATTACCGCATACGATATGTCATTATTGCTCGAATTATTAGTTCTAATTAATCACAACACTACGCATATAAATAGGCAAGTATATTAATTTTTAATTCATATGATTAGTAAGTATCCATCGCACGAATTAATTCATCTGCGTCAAAATTCTTGCGAATTAATCGGCAATTGATTAATTATAAATAAGTTACCTCTCGTTACACAGGCAAAGCAATATTTTTCGATTTAAATGCCGCGATGCAATAGACTCGTTAAGATAAATATTTAACCTGAAATGCAATTTAACGCCCCTACTATAGTGCCCAGGTTACTCCAATTACTCCTTATTCTGTTACTTGAAAGTAAATACAATAATAGTAGAATAAATTGAAAATTCGATCGATTGGTATTTTGCTTTGATATTGCACATCCCGAAATTATCAAGCAAATGGAAATAGCCAGTCATTATCACAGGCATTACCAACAACCTGCGCAATGTCAATCACATCCTCCCGCCCGCCCGCCAGGTAATTCTTCATGGTCGACAACGTGACTCGCCCTTACCTGCCGAAGTGTAATCCCAAACACTGAGAGCCCCATGTTGCCTCAGCAGAAGCGTCGTGGCGACGTCATCGGCAAGGACACCAGTTATGCAACTGACCGCGCTAAAGTATCCGACCATACGCGCCGACGGATTCTCCATCCTTTCCTTCACCAGCTTCCGATCGAGGTCGTTCAAGTCCAGGAAGCCCTCGCGCGTCTCGTCAATTCTCACCAGCTACGAACGAGCAGAGGCATAAAATAAAAACAAGACAAGTCGGATAATCGCTATCGCCGATGGATTTAGCGTTTATTTGTTGCGCGATATATTGTTAAATTTATTTAACGCCCGTTATGCGCCAAAATTTGGTATACGTCATTAGCTTTTAGCCGTTGTGCGCGTGGCAGCAGAAAAGACGTTAAACGTTCGCGATATTTAAAGGGAGACGACATTCAATAATAAATTAGGCTGCTTCTCGTTAGCTTGGGCGACAGCAATTTAGCCTCGCATTACTAATATGCATCTTCACTCTTCACTCTCCCGCGTGCAAGTAAGACCAAACGAAAGAGTAAATTGGCAATGGGAAAGCGCGCGGACCGTCATCCGTGCGACTGGGAGAGTAATTTTATTTTAAAAATCGACGCGCGGTAGGAGCCCCCGATGACTCATTTCCTCGTGCCACTTGGTTGGAAGCGCACTGGCGCATGAGAGATGAGGAGTAACTCACCCTGACCCCGTACTCCCGCCAGGGCCTCAGGTTGGAGTGGTGCTCGAAGGGCCCGACAAAGACGACGGTTGGCGTCCCGAGGTCGAGGTGCTTCAGCAAAGTGCGTAACGCCCCCGCGGTGCCCTGGCCCGTGAAAAGCACCGCGTCCTGCTCGCCCGCGCCAACCGCATGTCGGACGATGTCTCTGGCCTCGTGCCTGCAACAATGTAATGGGCATTTTAGGCTGCTACTCTCGGCTAATTCCCCGGCTGGGGCCATAATTTTAGCAAAGCCGGCGTCCCTCTCGAGCCCACAATCGCCTCGCTCGTAAACCCACTGCAACGCCGATTATTCCGACTCTTTTGTTGCCACGCTCGCAAGCACCGGCCGACCACTGTAACTACGGATTCCTTTATTTAAGGATCGTTGGCCAGCGGTCCACCGGCGGATGCAGGGCTAATTCAAGCATTGTTATAACGATATCGGGTATTTTCAGCTCGGGGTGTCGCTCGTCGTGCTCGCCGATAAGGAATATCGCTATTATCGTAAGTCCGTAAATGCTCGAGGCATAATGGCTATTGTGCCATAATAATTTAGGCTTCGGTCTAAATCCAGCCGCCGTTGGACTTTTTTTTTTTACGTACGTAAAACGTCGACGGTAAACGAGACGAGAAAAATCCGCCTTATCGTAAAATAAAATCAAGTGTATTGTATTAGTAGTCGTAAGTCGTTGTTTGCGGCTGTGGCTTTGCTCGTTATTCGATTAATAAAATTGTATTTGCGATTTTTTGTCGACTCTTTGAGGTATTTGCTTACCGCTATCGATTATCCGATATATCCGAACTGTCTATTTGAAATCAATTCTGTAAACCATATCGAACGCGATTACTTAAGCATTTAAAATATAAATTGTTTCGTCCGGGCAGCAAACATAGCCTATTGCATTATTAAAATATGTTTGATAAAAGCAATTACGATGTAAGTGTCATTTACTTTTTTTAATTACAAAAAATTGCAAAGTATGAGCGGAAATGATTAGTAATGTCGGATAGTTTTGTATAGTATTAGAGCATCGGTATTACTTAGACATTCGTTGGCAACGGTAAAGTCAATGGCTCTCTCGAGGGAGAGAGCGAGAGAGCGAGAGAGAGCTTTTAACAACGAATCGACGAATCGACGAATTACTATCCATCGTTTAATCGCCATTCACGGGAGAGAAAAAAATAAATCCATAAAAGTGGATAAAAATATACGCAATCGTTATCCCTAAAGAGCACAGCAGTTAGCATTTAAATCAACGAACACAGCTTCCGACTAACCAGTAAATTCCGAACGTTTGTCACAATCAGCTACGAAATTTGCACAAATGATGTCAAAAGCGCAATGACGAGTGTCATGCCAATGTCCGGAATGCGCGAGTCGATATATAATACCCAATAATCTTTCGCCAATGGTTGATTGTCATACTCGTGATACCCGGATCACTCACACCCCGTGCTCGACATATCGTGATACTCCGCGACAAAGATAACCAGACCAAGCACAAACAAAGAACTCTACGCAGATTCATCATCAAAAGCGACAAAGAGAGCGGGTGGATGGGGCGGAAAGCGAGAGGGACGAGGAAGGTAAGGACAAGCTTGCGGACGACGTTAGGCTAGGGTACGAACAAAAGGAAGTGCGACCACGTTTTCCCGACTCTCCTCCCGAAATCGAGCCTCCCGTCCCTGCCGTCCCTCCCTCCCCCGTCGCCCGTAAAAACCACCGTCTCACTACCTTCTTTATCTCCGAGGTTCTTCATCTCCGAGCGCGCACTTCTGCACGCGCGCATCATTCGAGCGAGCGACGCATCAGCGATGGACGTCTCGTTCGTCACCGTCGCCGCGACGTAATAGCGCGACGCGGTGGACCGTCTCGTCGCGATCCCCCGGAAATGGGTCAGTGCACATTCCCGCTACGTAATAAGCGAATAGCGCCACTCTAAATTTACACAGCGCGCGCGCGTGCGTTTTCGCATAAGCTTATCGATATATGCGTGGGCGCGCGTGTTACGCTTTTTCGGTGTTCACTTAATCTTGCGTTGTTGCGCGCGGAGCCAGACACGTCACTTGCTCGTATTGGCCTACATTCGTTCGCTAACGATTCGCGCGGACTTTGCAACTTGCTTGCCAGAGAGTGAGGAGGTGGAGGAGGAAGAGGAGGAGGAGGAGGAGGAATACGAGGAAAAGCGGGATAGAGAGAGAGAGAGAGAGAGAGAGAGAGAGAGAGAGAGAGAGAGAGAGAGAGTAGTGGGCGGGGGGGGGGGGGGGGG